TACTTCTTTTTACTGCCATCTCTTCACATTACACTCTACTTTATATTTGTTCACTTCAACGATATGAGTTCATGTCCGTTAGTTTATCTTCTTTGAAAAAGATATTTACTGACCTCTACTTTGTTTTAGATTTTCGACAGTGGACTCTTGTCTTTAATATTGAGATTGAAACTGCTTCATTATATCGTTCATACCGAACTATATAGGTGTCAACAACAACAAAAAAAGATGTTAATAAATATATATTGTGATTAAATATAATATATATAACATGAATTATTATGATAAATAAATATTTCCTCTCAATGAGTTTCTTTTTATTTAAAATTGGTAGCTTTCAAGTGATAATTGCTCTTCAACGGGCTAGTAAAATACCTAGTATTTGTAAATATTTATTGTTAATATAGTTGATATTTATTAAGCCTGTTGAAGAGCGATTATCACTTGAAAGCTAGCGTTTTGTAATAAAAAGAAACTCATTGTGAGGAAATATTTTGTAATTTTAAAAATATACATATATATACAAGGTCTTCATCGTTCTTAAAATTAAAGATACTTCTGCCAGTAAATATTTTTATTATCTCGACATTTCGACAAAAATCTTTTGTCCTCGTCAGGAGCAAACAATAAATAAAACATTTGGAAAGGCGTTAAGTCGTCATAATAAAAAGATTTACTGGCCGAAGTATCTTTAATTTTAAGAACAATGAATGCCGGCCAGTCAACCTCTATCTTTATGATAAGGTCTTCATTGGTGGCGCCCACCGCGGGAAAGACTCTACTACCGATGGACTGCAAGAGTTCTTTCCCACAGAGTGGGCAGGTCGATGTGATGGCTGGTGTTACCTACCTCAAGACCAAGATGGTACTTGTAGATGGTAGTCTTCGCCATTGCTGTTGTCTTTATTTCCGATAATTTTCTCTCTCTTGGTATCTAAGTTATTTGATCATATCAACGGGAAAAACATTTGTTCTGTAAGTTTCTTACCTATATTGGCGCTTTATTTATGTTTAAGTTCACCAACGATAGGCTCTTGTCTGTAATTTCCCACCCTCCTGTGTATTGGCTTTTTACGGATCTCCGTTTTACTGTTCTTTATTTCTTTAAATACAGTAGAACATTCATGAGAGAACACTCCCGTTAGAAGACACCTCTCTACAAAGGACAGTTTTCATCGCCAATACAGTAGAACACACTCCATGAGAGGACACTCCCGTTAGAGGACACCTCTCTACAAAGGACAGTTTTCATCGCCAATATACCCATTTTTACTATTCAGCAACTCTCTGGTCGATGTGATGGCTGGCATTGCCCGTCTCAAGACCAAGATGGTATTTGTAGATGATAGCCTTCGCCATACCATTTCTACTATTTAGCAACTTTCCAGTAAAAGGACACCTCTCCCTAAAAGACACTTGCTCTGTATTTAGACGTCCTTTACAGGGAGGTTCTACTGTAATTCAAATTTTAAAGTAACGACATCATTTTAGCAAAAAGTACCTAGGCATCTTTAGTTTGACTCAAAATATCTTTAGTCAAACATCCAGAATTCCAAAGGGAAGTCTAATACCCAGTTCACATTTGAAGAAAGAAATAAATAATTTTAATAGTGTTCTATAAGCTACATTTATAGACTAAAGAAAATTCGAAACTATTATAGACGCGTATGATTCTTTTAAAAATTAAACAATATCTACTGCCCTTACTGCAATGGAAAAATTAATGGGAGGGCCTAGCTCATCAGTGAATTAAGACGACTTTACCACAAAGTTTTTCACCAGGAAGCTACATAGTTCATGTATGAGCCAGGCCTTCCCATTAATTTTTCCATTGCAGTAAGGGCAGTAGATATTGTTTAATTTTTAAAAAGAATCATATGCGTCTATAATAGTTTCGAATTTTCATAACAGATGGCGCGCTAATGCATCATAATATTGTAGCGTAGAAAATCAGGTCTTTGTATAACTGAAGGCGTCAAAGTATTTATTGATGACGTCACCACGACCAGTCAACAAATATTAACAAACCAACCAAACTATCTACAGCTAGAGAATATCGAGCAAGCAAGCTAGGTAACTAAATAATGATTTAGCAAATGTAAAATAATAAATCTGTTTCCAAATATTTTCATTGAATAATAAAATAAAATAAAATAATAGATTATTTCTTCGCCACAATATAAAACTTAAGGAATTAGAATATCTTTGAATTATTCGGTCGTCTGTTTTTATCTTAAAGGAGACAAAGGTAATTTTGTTTATACTTGGTTATCTTGGGGGTTCCCAATTAGGATATCCACTCTATTAGGCTATTACTCAGTAGAACTAAGTAATAATAACAACGTCTTTGGTAAATGAAAGATTCCTCAGAGTATCGATAAGATAGAAGAAACGTCAGTGGAATGTGAAAACTTTATAATTAATTGATAATAATAGATTATCGGTTTTGCTCTTCATTGGAAAATGGGTGCCGTTGCCACGTTAGTTACCTTGGAAACTGTTGTATTCCAATTGATTACACACAGCGCTCAACGTTAATTATTATTTAATTAACTACAAGGTAAAGGGATTATATATAGATTAAATAGTAAAGATGGAGAAAGAGAATGTCAGCGTGGCGACGCCGCAGGTTACATCAACAGGAAGTGACGTCAGCTCCAGTGTTACCGAGCCAACCACCGCGGCCGTCAGCAGAAACGAACCAGAATTTGGTTGAATATTCCAAGGGTCCAGGGGGGGCTGGTGTGGTCGGACTTCTCCCCCCCCCCCCCATTGGAGATGCATGGAGACATCTGAGACTATTCTTTGGACACGACAACAACAACAACATAATAATAGAATGTGTGAAAGAAAAGGAGAGATAGATTGAAACTTCTTTATTACATCGTTTATATATTCTATATACAGTTACGCGCGTCATTCTTCATCTCTTAATCAGTCATCTCTGTCACCGTTTGCTTTTTTTTTGGAATGGCGCCCTCCTATTGGTTGGCTACGACCACGCCACCTTTGCCCCCCCCCCCCCCCCCCGCACTCGCTTTTTCGTTTTTGTAACCATTGTGTTGGAGCGGGTCGCTCCTTAAATAAATGCATATATTAGTTAATAACTAAATGGAATCCTCTCTTTCTTTTTCCCAGTATGAGACGCCTATGGAAGCCAACAGTACATAGACAGACAAAGCACATAGGCTATAGTTATTAACTAACATATGCATTTATATAAGGCGCCAATTTATAATTGTAACAAATAGTATTTGAATCAAAACATTCAATCGGGTAAAACACGGGCGTTGCCCGGGTCATTCGGCTAGTGGTTATATAAGGTTAAATATATAGAATAAATATGAATAAAATAAGATATATTAAATAATGATAAATATGGATAAATCTTCTTCTTCTTTCTTATCTCAAAGCCATGATAATCATGATGGGTAATTAGCGACTGCTTTTACTGTAAGTGCACCACATGTCTACACATGTGAAAAGCAGTTCGACTTTGTACTTACAAATGTGCCAGAGCCCCGTTTGGTTACTTGCACTCGCTGGTGGGGTTGGTCTTTTGCAAGAATCCAGGGCAATTGGAGCATTTATATATATATAGAGAGAGATGAAGTACTAAATGATTTTTAAGCTTAATGAAGTAGGATACAGAGAGAAAAGAGATTCGGCCCTGCAAAGCAGGGCCAGGGATGATATAGACTCCTGTGGTCCTTACATCCCGGTTACCTTCTCCAGTCACCCAGTCAAAGGAATGATACATTCTCCATGCACCGAGCGGCCATTTGTATGGCCCCTCGCGCCCGCCTTTATGGTCTAGCTCATGGTGTAGCTTTTGCAAGAATCGGGGGCTATTGGAGCATTTTTTTAAACAGAAAAAAAGTGTCCAATGCGGGAATCGAACCTGGATCGTAGTGGTCGAAAACCAAACGGTTTAACCAGCCTTCCACCGACCCCATATAGATAAATAAATATAGATAATGCAATATTTAAATCAAAGCTATAATTCTTCCATTGGCCTTGTAGAACGAGAGTGGTGTACGCGTGCTAGCATGTTTTAGTAAAAAAACACAAACATCTTCGATAAAGAGAGGCGAGTTGCCCCTCGAAATATTGGAACAATAAAATAATTATAAATCCAATATATGCATCTTTTTTTGAAGATAAATAAATGTAAAATATTTTTGAAAATTTGATAAATATACATAAAATAGAGAGAGAGAGAATCCAAACATTGAAAGACCTTTAACATATTTTATGGAAATGTACGCAGAGGATTTATTGTAAAGTTAAATGAGAAAGTGCTCCTTGTTTGAGAATTAAGGATGTGAGTTTTTTTCCTTGAAGGTAAATCTATGACTAGAGAGGGAGCCAGAGTTTCCTTAGAGAAAGTACATTTTTATAAGCTGGTTTGTAGCTATGGTGGATTATTCTGAGCAAAGACACACCAACAGTGACCATTCCTCTACACCAGAGAACCTTCCCCAATGTAATGTTGTTGTTGTCGTTTCCAAAGAAGAGTCTTAGATGTCTCCATGCATTTCCATCACAGCAGCAGCAATATCCACTATCTTGCTCTTCATTGGAAAATGGGTGCCGTTGCCACGTTAGTCACCTTGGAAACGAACCAGAATTTGGTCGAATATTCCAAGGGTCCAGGGGAGACCGCAGGGAGGTGTGGTCGGACTTCTTCCCCCCCCCCCCCCCCCAATCCCAATGTAATCATTATGTCATATACTCAGCCTTAATATGTTTATTTTTTACTAGTCAAGTGACCCGGCTCCGTTAGTGCAGTACTCGAGTTTAAATTTTCCCAATGAATAGTATTCTTAACACAATATAATGCGGCTTATGATTGTAGAACTGCATTTGACAATTATCCCTCAAATGTTTCTTTTGAACGAAAAATCGAAATTTATTTTAAGGAGAAATAACGATTATTTCTAACCTTAGGGATTAAGTATGAAAGGATGAATTGTGAAGAGTAATGATAAACGGAAAAAGTAGCCTAGTGGACATGGCATCTGCCCGGTAAGCGGAACACTGTGGGTTCGATTCCCATCCCTGGACACTTTATTTTTCCGTTTATCATTACTCTTCACAATTCATCCTTTCATACTTCATCCCTAAGGTTAGAAATAGTCGTTATTTCTCCTTAAAATAAATCTCGATTTTTCGTTCAAAAGAAACATTTGCGGGATAATTGTCAATAGTATTTTTAACAAATGTAAGAAGGTGCAGTAGTGATAAAAGAAAAAAATTATAATCAAGTAGTTTTTATTTTCAATTACTTGAAGAAAATGACACATTAATTTTTTTGACAGTTATATAAAACTAGACGAATGGCCCGGGCAACGCCCGGGTTTTACCCGAGTGCGTATATATTTTAAAAACGTTTTAATTCAAATACTATTCGTTACAATTATAAATTGGCGCCATGGATGTCACTCTTGTGAAACGTCCCGTTCCAAACTGTGTGTTTTTAAAATGTTTTAATTAAAATACTATTCGTTACAATTATAAATTGGCGCCGTGGATGTCTCTCTTGTGAAACGTCCCGCCCCAAACTGTGTGTGTCTTGAAAATATAAAAATAAAAATGTGAATTTTCATAAAGATTTCATCATGTCGATTTTTTTTTTTGCATTTCACCTACTAAATCGATAGAGATAATTACATTTGCAACATGAACTTAGGTATATTGACTAAATAGAAAACTGCATAGTAATAAAGATCATTTTTTAAAGGCACCATATCGTTTTTTTTTTCAATAAAATCGAAACAAAAATTAACGATAAATAACGATAATTGCCTTAAAAAGAAATTGCCTTGAAAAAAGAAACATTCGCGGTGATTTTGTCTTGCATTCGTTTATACAATTATTATATACGAATGACCCGGGCAACGCCCGGGTTTTACCCGATTAAATGCTTTTATTCAAATACTATTCGTTACAATTATAAATTGGCGCCGTGGATGTCATTCTTGTATAATATATAAATGAGTTTTAAAAATTGTAAAAAAAAAAATAAATAAAATGCATCGGCCGGGAATCGAACCCGGGCCGCCCGCGTGGCAGGCGAGCATTCTACCACTGAACCACCGATGGTTATGAAAATTCCCATCCGTGAGCTTCAGACAAACAAACAGACAGAATAAGGCAAATATATAAGTAGATTTACAAAATAACTTCAATATTAGTGAATTTTAAAAAAAGGTAGGTTAACTATACATATTTACAACAATATTCAAAGTGGTAAATTCTAAAACTATGTTCGCAAAAATGTAGAATAGTCAATTAGTGTGAAAATAAAATATATACTTAAAAATATATAATATTTGAATTTTTAGATTATAAAATATATATTACTTACTTTATTCTCCTTCTCATTGGGTCTCTGGACCTGGTAGCTATCGGTAGGCTGATACTCTGATCATTTATTTTCTATCGCCGTTGTGTGCGCATTGGCTGAGAAGGGAATTCCCACAATCTCTTCTGTATTCTTGCGATAGCTTTAATATGATTATTTTTGTTTTGAGTAGAGAGACAAGTTTGACAATCTTGGATTTGCATATGCACATTTGCTACTCTCCATTTGTCCAAACAAATCATTGGGTGCGGAATCATATTTTCAAAAATCATATATCAGGATAGAAATATATTTTGTTGGAAGGTGTTATTGATTTATATATTGTGTGTGTGGCGAAGAAATAATTTATAATTTAATTTAATTATTCAACGAAAATATTCAACAGATTATAAAAATATATATTACTCTGTATTTGTAAAATCATCTTTAAAATATTTCTTTGCTTGCTTGTTCAAGAAGATTTCTAGCTGTAGATAGTTTGGTTGATTGGTTAATAATTGTTGGCTGGTCGTGGTGACGTCATCAATAAATACTCTTACACATCTTCAGATATACAAAGACTTGATTTCTACGCTTCAATAAAAAGGTTACCTCATTATAAATCAATATCCTCCAGGAACACACAATTTGCATCTATATTTTCACGGTAGACAATTAAAATATTTTATTGACATCTTGTCAATACATGCAAAGTGCACAGTCTGTACTATTAAAAAAAGATAATATGGATTATATAGACTATGTACAATGAATATGGCGCCTCTGCCAGCGCTGCAGAGTTTGGTGGAGAATCACCAGTGGGTCTCCAGCGACACCACGTATTGTCAAGGTAGAGAAGACAAGTATTCCAAAAGTTTATTTAAAAATAATTTATTTATTAAACTTATATATTGCAAAATGTGTCAATTGATGTTTCAAGTGGTAATTTACAAGCAAGGTAAGGGGTGATGACTATGCAAATATTTATGATGATAAACACAGTATGTGGCAATATTTTATCCATAGAATTGTAACTTTACTAGCTGAACACGTCTTCAGCAGGTTCTGAAGATTTTCCCATTTGATCAATCTTCAAAGACTGCCCTGGATTGACAAAGTACATTAAATAGAAACCTGGGTTTCTGCTCGGAAGTCTGAAAACGTTACCTTTTACAAAATCACTTAGAATTTTAGGAATTTCGAATATTTTCAAATATTTTTTTTTTCATGAAATCTAAATTTAAATTGTTTATTTTCGAATAAATAAAACATTACTTGAATCCCGAGCTTCTATCGCGAGCTACAGAGTTGCAAAATCGTTCTTTTAAAAATGGAACACTCTGTCTTCTTCTTCTTTTTCTTTCTTATCTCCACTCAATCATATTAGGGTATCAAGCTTGTAGAGCTTGAAACTTTTGATGGTGTCTGCTGGGGATGAGTAGAGCTTATCAATGGATGAGTCAATACAGTCAATAATGTGTTTTGGGGTTGGAGGTTGACACTTAGTACATAGTGGGAAAACCTTGCAACCATTCTGGAAAGTCATTGTCCGTAGATGACCAGACTTAAGTCTGGAAATCAAAGACTGTTGTTCTCTTGGGAGGACAGAACTGGTGTTTGTCCCTCCTGCTCTGTACCAGTCATATGCAGCATTAGATTTCCATTCCTGCAGGCATTGGGTTTTGATGGTACGGAGGGGGTCGGAACACACTGTGATAATAAAACGACGTTTGAAAATTATATCGCAAGTGTTTCTTTTCAACGAAAATTCAAATTTTTTTTTTAAAGGAGAAATAGCGATTATTTCTAACCTTAGGAATGAGGTATGAAAGGATGAATTGTGAAGAGTAATGATAAACGGAAAAATAAAAGTGTCCAGGGATGGGAATCGAACCCACAGTGTTCCGCTTACCGGGTAGATGCTATGTACACTAGACTACCCTGGACATATTTTTTCGTTCGTAAATAATACATGAAGTAATTTATAAAACAATACAATATAATGCGACTTGTGATTGTAAAACGACATTTGAAAATTATATCGCAAGTGTTTCTTCTCAACGAAACTCTGTGATAATGTATAAAGCACAGAGTTGAAATATATGAAATCAAAACACACATATAGAAAACTGATTATTCTATAATTTCTTATCTTTATTTGGTTTCTGCAACTTATTTTTGGTATTGCACACGGCTCAACACAATTGTTTGGTTTATGGCATTTCCTACTGAGAAGTAAAAAGCAATTGTTAGCAGGGGATTTATGGAGTAATTTCTTTTTTTTCTCAAAATATAAACAAATAAATTTGACCATCAGACACTTCTTCCTACTAACCATTAAATTACTCCGGGAAATGAAAAAATAAGCTGTTATATGTCTTTTTTTTTTCCGTGAAATTACACACATAGACAAAACTTAAGGAAGTTATACCTTTTAGCATGTACTGTATATCGGGATTCAAATAATAACTCTGAAAGATTTTGATACACAGTGATCTTTATTGAAGATACACGAGATAATAAAGTGTAACAAAAATATAGATAACCTGAGACGTCACAATATGAAACTATCTTAGCTATAGATTTGGCCCAGCCACTTTGCCAGCTAAACACCTCTTTGGCAGATTGTCAAGATTCCATTAGATCCCATGTGTATCTCATGGAATAAAGTCCGCCCTAGACTGACGAGGGCCTTTAGCCCGAAACCATGGTCTCTAGGTGGACGCTTTTCAGTTTGCCAAAACTGGTGTTGTGGCTTTGTCATCGACCCGAGGCCGCTAGTTGCGGCAACGGTCAATAGATGGCGTCTGGTTTTAGACGTCTATTTTGACGGGAGAGGCGACCCTTGTCTATTTAGATCAATTTACCTACGGCAAAATTTCCATCTATACCTTAAGTTTTGTCTATGAGGGAAATAATAGAATAAAGAGAAAAGCATTGTATGCAACTAAGGAAGGGGGGGGGGGGGGGTATTTTTTTTCTTGCTAAGAAGAGACTCAAGGTCACGTTATGACCTGTTGAAGGACGTTATTATCCGAAAGCTCTCAGCTCTTCAATGAAGAAACTCATCGCCATTACCTCTGGTAGCTTCTAAACAATGTTATCCTGCGATTCTTTCTAATTTCTTTTCTTGCGAAAATCTTGACTGAAAAAGCTCTCGACGACCATATCTCAATCATATCAACAGGCTACAATGAACACTAGTGAAATATTCAATTTGTATAGAGATGATTTGTATTGTAAAGAATATTTATTTGTGCAGCTTGAGACATACTCTCAATCATGTGAATTACTACAAGATATAGAGATTTTGTCTCTTTCTTGTAATGTTCAAAGTCTTTCGCTTTTTTTTTTAAGAGAAGAAAATATCGAAATCTCTTGTGTACACTCATGGACAAAACTTAAGGATTCAGACAATAACTCTGAAAGATAGTTAATACACAGTGACCTTTATTGAAGACACATGAGATAACCAAGTGTGAACAAGATATATCCAAAGAATGGATCAATAGTATGGCCCACCACTGGTATGAAGGAACAAGACCTGGAGACTCAATATCATCACAGCTTTCTAGAAACGAAGCCACAAAAATTACAAGATTAAAGACCGGACATACTAGACCCATTATGTTCATTGATGGAGAAAGAGTTTTTCCTGTCTGCTCAAAATATTCCAACTCCACTCCAGCACATATCCTGGACTGTATTGGAGCTAAGACCTA